AAAAAAAAAAAAAAAAAAAAAAAGAGGGAGCAAAAACACAAAATGTAATTGAAAAAAAATTTAAATGGCAGCGCTAAATCCAACCACATCAATAATTACGTTAAATATATATGAACTAATTGCAATTAAAACACTGAGATTATTAGACTAGATCTAACACAAGTCCCATACGGTTGAAAGCAAAAAGATATGTCATGTAAGCAGTAATTATAAAATGCTGGAGCAACTGTATTAATATCAAAGTAGATTTCAAGACAAAGAATATTACCAGAGATAAAAGGAACATTACATGATAAGAGACAATTCATTAGGAAAACATAACCATCATAAACACGTATTAAGATAGAGCCTCAAAATACACGAAACAAAAACTATGAAAACTAAAGAGAAGAAAATATACAGTTAACAGCTGGGAGACTGTAAAACTCCTCCTCCCATGACTGAGTAAACAAACACGTAAGGTAAACCTGTAAGGGTCAGCACACCACAAGCCCACACAGTCTGATCTGTAAACGAAGTTCCCTGGGAGTGTGGCCGTGCCGGCTCATTCACACACTGTCTGTGGCTGCTTTTGTGCTGCAATGATAGAGCTGGGAGGCTGCAGAGATCCTGGACGAGCCTAAAATATTTTCTCTGGGTCATTACAGGAAGTTTGCTGACCTCTGTAACTGAAGATCTGAACAATACATCCAACCACAGGCCCAGCCGACATTTCTAGCACTGGCACGCTATGCCTGACAACTAGAGAATATGCATTACATTCAAACGCACGTGGGACGTTCACCAGGACAGACTACATACTGGGCCATAAAATATGTCTAAGTAAATTTATAAAGACCAAATCGTACATGATATGTTCTGCAACAACAATGGAATTAAATCAGAGATCAATGAAAATATCTATACAATTCTCAATATCTGAAAAATACACAACCCACTTCTAAATAATCCATGAATCGAAAGAGAAATCATACGGGTAATTAGGGAATATCTACAACTAAATGAAAATGAAAAC